GGCAAAAAGATTTCTTACCTTTCTTCTAGGGTATCTGAGGTCAGAAAACCAGGTATGTCTTGATTTTTGATACCTGCAGTACTACAAAATGTTTTACCAACTACCCTTGAACTTGAGCACATAAATTTTCTTAAGTGAAACTTAAAGGACCTGAGTGCACTTCTGGAAGAGCAGGAAAAGGAAATACCAAAATTTCTATCCATTACAGACATAGACACCAGAAAACACAATTATTAATCTAAAAGATGACTTCCTGAAATGAAGAAGGCCTTTTTACATTATTAGATACTAAAAAAAAAATTATTCCTTTTAGTTTAGGTATAGGAAATGTCATATTTCATTTATGTAAAAAACAAAGGACACCAGTACATAAATCTCATTCTGAACAAATCAGAAACAGCATCAACAAACATATACATGAACTCATCTACAGTGGAAAAGAATATTTTTCTCTGTGGCAAACTTTCAGTTAAACACTTTGACCAAAAAAAAAATCAGGAAATAAAAATAGTCTCTATTATTGTAATAATGAACTTTAAATTATTTTCTTGTTCCTGTAGAATTGCATAACTCATATGCTTATACGTCCAAAACTATGAAAGGCTGAGAAGCACAAAAATAAACAAAAGAAGGTTGTTCTGCTTTCATTTTGTCTTAAAACATATTCAAAGAACGTAATTCACTCTGAACGTCTGATTTCAAATGCCAAAGCATTTGTATTTATAAAAAAGCCCAGGAAAGAATGAAAATTTTCTTACGTACTTTATGTCAGAATCTGAGCTCAGAAACTTTACAAAGAGAAATCTCAGCACCCCCCTGACGAAAGCAGAAATATCAAAGAAAACAGCAGTTTATTTGATGTAAATTTCTGCTTTATATTAAAGAATAAACTCTGTTAAAAAACCAGACACCTTACTTTTACAGTATGCAGCCCAGCAGTATTTTTAAAAGAAGTAATGTAGCCAAACCAATCTAAAAACAACTTTAAAAAAAGAAGTCAACTGACACAATGAGGTTTGGTTATTCTTCAAGAACAGCAGGCTTCAACCAAAAAGGCTGTGTCCCTGTGAAGAACAAAGATGTAGTATGTCATTATAAATAATTATTTCTAAGCTTGTATGACTTGACTAAGTCTGAATAAAACGCAGACTTCTGAAATCACTTTCACTTAAGCTGCACATTTGGAAGGAAACTAAGACTGTTTTGTGCAGAGTGACTTTCATCTATTCTATTAAGAATGCTTTCTATAAACTTGGACATTAGGGATATTTGAGAAAGGATCACTGTTCTTCAGAACATGAGCATTCAGGCTCAGCAATTGCAGATTAGCTGCTTGACATTAATTCTTACTGGTGGCTATTAAATGTAGCCCCTGATATATCCTGATTTTATTTTATTTTGAGAAAAATTATTATCCTGTTGACATCCACAAAAATACAGAACACTCTGTTACCGATCTCTAATAAAACAGATTCTCTCAAAACTTTCAAAGAAACTTGAAAAAATCTTGTTAGAGGAAGATAAAAGTGAGATGAACCCCTCAGGTTAACTCAGAGATCAAGTCAAGGAAAATCCCTTCCAATTTTCATTACATGCCAGACTATGAAACTTAATTCTTTACCTGAAGGGAGACTCTTAAACATGATTTATAGAATATTTTGGATTTCTTAAAAACAATAATCATAACAATAGAAAGCCTTTGTACTCTCACCAACTATAAACTAGCACCTGTATCTCACATTCTTTTTACCTTTCTGTTCATTGTACTTCACAGAATATTGTGGAGGAGGTCAGGGGGTAATTCGGAATACTGGTTTGGTATTACACTGTACACAACTTCTAGATTTGACTTTGTTTTCAAATGTTTTGAATAAAGAAATAATTCTTGAAACCTGAATTCTGCTTCATAGCAAGCCTTTACAATAACTTTCAAGCTTTCTTCCAAAACCTTAGTCCACTAGCTTAGTGACTGGTAAGTTAAATGGACTTTTGGCACCCACATAAGTTGATTTAATAGAAGGCATGCCTTCCCTTTCTTATAAACAGTTATAGAAAGTTTTTCCTTCTCTGTGAGCACTGGGCTTGAAAGATTTCCTGGTTCTTTTAAAATTTTGCATTATTTTTCCACTTCAGCTTTCAATTTGAACAGTGACAGTTTTCCCACGTATTCCACAAAGGGTCTGAGCTATTTTTCCACACGGTGTTTCCAATAGAGAACACTCTTT